AAAACAAATACGTTTATTGCAATCTAACATCCTCAAAATCGTTTTTCGCTTCTTCACAATATTTGACACATTCAGACATTCTATGTTTACTTTGAGCATTTTTTGAAAGAGACAGTGGCTGAAATGAGAAGGTCATCAATCCAAACACATTATGTGAATCGAACGCCTAAAAGTAGTTAGCTCATAAACAACGATTCAAGTCTCAAATTTCATATCATTTTAAACAGAATTGCTTTGATTTAGAACTCACTTGTTGCTTCAATTTTTTCAATATTAAACTATTTAATGGATTTTTTGATTATCACTTGATTTGTTTCAAATTTTAACAACGTAGGCTTTCTCGCCAACATCGTCTTTCTAGTTCCTGAAAATATTGAAATTACTGATAGAGGTTTCGCGTCATGGCTTGAATTTGTAGCCTGCTCGAGAATTAAAAATTCTAACAATAGCTGCTAATCGGCCTCAAAAATCTCTTCATTTCTCATATTTCATTCAAAAATGTGGGCGGTTTCTATTTTCGAGAAGTACATATGTGTCATCTTGAAGAATACGGTACAGAATAAAATTTAATATAAAATGAACACTTCAAAACAAATTTTTGAAGCAGAAAAAAACTATTTTTATATCTGAACCGGAATGATCACGCCTCAACTGTTTCAATATCATTTTTCTGAATTTGAGAGAACATTCATCGTTTTTTTTCCAATTTTTCTAACAATAAAGTGGTCTTTGGAACAGGTGTAAAATTTCTAGTCTCTCAGAATTTCGGATTTTCCAATTACATATCCATAATTTCAGACGACTTTCTTTAGAACACTTGAACAAGTTCAATACATAAATTATAGTTTATTTATCAATATTGACACACTATTATTTTAATTAAACATAATCAGAAATTAGCAATTTAATGATTGAGTTAGAATTTCTCCCCTTTTCTTAATTTTTGCCTAAAATATTAAGTAAATTTATGGTTTAAAACCAAGCCAAAATAAACTTTTTTTGCTCCAAAAAATGGGAAAAACTCCCTACAAGAACATGTTTGGCATGACAAAGCTCCGTGAGGATTTCAATTTTTTTCTGCATACATTTTCTATGTTCTATTCCCTCGAAATAGTTCACTCAACTCGAAAAAATGTTTTATTTGATTCGATAAAAAGTTTATTTTTCTCGTCGAACTCTCTCATTCTTTTTTTTTTGAACAATGTAACCGATATTTCAGAAAATGTTGGCCAAACTTTTCCATAACAAGCGTCGTAGAAACAGCGAGCCGGTGACCCCGCTCAGCTTCCGCCAGTTCCAAAGCAGCAGTCGAGCGCAGGTGAGAATAAAAAACCCGCCTAATTAGTTTGGGTGATGTACGTAATTAATGAATGCCGTGTCTGTCCAATTAAAAATGTACTAATGCTATTTATGTTTGAATAAAAATAATATTTATTGAGAAAAGTATATTTTTAGAAGAATTCAAGAAGTTTACGCTTTTTTTGAATAGTGCATTTGCGTATTCAATTTCACAGGGATTTATGAGCAATTCAAAAATTTCAGCATTAGCAATCAAACAAAGTTTGATTTTATTAGCAATAATATGAAATATTTGAAAGCTGAATTTGAGGAAAAACGTAAGTGTACGATTCAAAAAATTTTCAACGCAAATCTGCATAGGGTTTTCAAATTTTTTTCCAATGGATTTTTTAATTCGGTATTTTCAGTTCTTTTTTCCTAATATCTGCGTATTATCATAATTTTCAGAATATAGATAATCTTTTCAGACTTGCAAAAAAAAACAGAACATTGCTGATATAGCTGTCATTAAATTAAAAAATAGTACATCTTTTGTTTGATTAGACAAATTTCTGGTGTTTGCATTAAATTGACAATTTCAACAATTTTAGTTTCTGAATATATCCATAAAAATCTTTGTTTTTCTTAAAGTATTAAGAAAATCTATACTTCTTAAAGTCTAGATTTTCATATGTGAGCTTGCTTTGGAGGTCTCGAGACATAATTCTGGTTGTTTGTTGAATTGGGAGGACATTTCTTCAGTAGCAAACATATTCCAAAATGCTTTTCCTTCTTTTTCCTAGTTCGTTTAAAGATCGCATGACATAAATTCATTAAAAATTCAGTTGGTTTATGTATTTTTGAACAACGAAAACTCAACGATTGCAGATTTTTGAAACAACTAAGATTTTCCCTATTCGTAGTTCTCAGACCTAAGGGATGAGGTTTCTGGAAGTCTTAAAATTTCAGAAAATATATCTTTTTTTAAAAACGTCTAGACATGAGGAAATTACGTATTTTTTTGGATTGTGAGTTCCATTTTAAGAAAAAATTTGAAATAAATAAATAATCCTATGATAATGATGCGAAGTTGGCGTTGAAATCTCTGTGAGAAAATTGTGCGCGCACTTTTCGGTCTCTCGCCAAATTTCATTTCCATTCCCGCAAATGTTTTTCAGAGAAGATGCTTCTCATATCCGTTATTAACACAACGAAGCTACGTCACTTCATAAAATAACGAATAACATGTTTAGTGCATGAAAAAAAACTTCAGCCTCAAAAACCGTAGGTCGCACTCACAAAAATATACACAATTCTAAATTTAGACAAATTTCGAGAGTTTCTGATCATTATCTCTATAAATGACTTTGACCGTCCATTCACCCCTTAAAATGACGAGAAGAAAAAAGCTTCAGTGAGTATCGTGTTTACGACTTCGGGCACCTTTGCAGATAAATTAAATTTAAGTCCGCTGCTTTTTTTGCCAAAAAGGGACCCTTGTTGTCTTATTTGAGCATTTCTCAAACAAAATTTTTATTTATTTTCACGTATTTTGCACTAAGAATGAATTGACGTATTTTATTTCCTCTAAAAACAGAATAATCAAGTTAATTTTCGGTGCTCATTTTGCCGTCGTTGATGATGTTGTTAAACGTTGATATATTGGTCAAGCTCCGCTCATGCCATTAGCTCCGCCCACTTGAAATTGTCTCAGAACGTGCCGCATTTAGAGCGCAATTTCTCTAGTGTAGCACACATTTATTCCGGCAGACTGTTGTCTCATCTTGTGTCACTCATATTGTAAGAACCGTCTCAGCACGCTTCCGATATTCCAAAATGGTGAGTGCACATCGTTGATAATGAAATCGCTTCAATGATAACGATGCGAAATGCGGTAAACATTGGCGAAATTCAAATTGTTAAAACTATTTTAGATAAGGGAAAAAATAGAAAAAAAAGATGTTTTTGGTATTTTAGTTGAGAAAAATAGCGATTTTGTTTGTATTTAAGACAATTGACCTTTCGAGAGCTTTCTAGAGGTCGCAAGAATTTCGATAGAATTGGATTTTAAGCAAATTTTTTAATCGATAAGACAATCTTTGAACATTACATGTTTCTGCTCTTACGCACCACAAGATAGTACTTTGTCATGGGGTTTCACAAGCGATCAGTGTTTTTCACAATGTTTGCAGGTTTCGGGTCTTCCAACGCATTTTTCGAATCACTTATTCCGAAGTTTATCTCGATGCTTTCATAGTTGTATTTCAAGACTTAAAAATATAGAAAATAGATAAATGAAATTGAAATATTCAATTGCTTGGCTGAAACAAAATATACCGTTGTCCAATAACTGCACGTTTACATATTAGGAAGCCAATTGTCGGTAGAGTATTTTGGATTAATAATATCTGTTTGCTAAATGCAAAAAATATTTTCTACACTCTTTGAAGAAGTGCTTGTTTTCCAGATTCTTTAATCCAAATCCTTGTTCCATATTATTATTGTTGTTGCGAATTTACACAATTTTCGAAAATAAAAACCTTCGATAAATGCGATGAAGCGCGCAATTTCTGATTTTGCTTTTCTTTCTATTTTCTTATCAAAAATATTCCAGCGGTCGCGCAAAATGTTTCTTGTTAAGTGAAAACTGATTAACTATGTGTGTTTATGTCTTAATTTCTCTCTCTCACTCAATAACTCGTATTATTTCAATATCACGTGTTTTTTCTTTGTCATTTTTCTGTTGTACCTCCGATTCCGTTCATTTTTTTTGTGAAGTTCGTGTGAATGTGTTGCCCGCCTCTCAAATCGTTGTTTGTTATTTTTTTTTCGCCGGGGGGTGCGATCATTTGACATCGAATAATTGCAAAAGAAATGAAATTTTGACGACCAATTTTGCGCAGGACATCTGACAATTTAGCGACCCAAACATGCGAATGACTACTGGTTAAGAGATTAAAGAGCATGACTAGCAGGAAAATACAAAAGAGGGTGGGCGGCGTCGCGTGGTTTCGACAACATCATCGAAAAAACGGCATGAGACACGCAGACACGCAACACTTCACTTTGTTATTGTTGAAAAAACATGTCGACTTTCTGAAAATCACTCTGAAAATCTCTGTTCGGTAAAAGAAAGCCAATCCGAACAACTGTCCGCATCTCTCGCGTTCAAGTTATTTATCATCCGTTCAAAATTCTCCCTCACATTTGATTAGAGTTTTGAGAAACAATGTTTCCAATCATCACAGTTTTTCAACTTTTATTTCTTTCCATTTTTTAAAAATTATCTTATCATCGCATAATTTCATCGTTTTGCACAAAATCAAAGCACGAAACTGAACACATTGATAACAATGTTTTTCAATTTTTGTGGTGGCAAAAGACGATTGACGTCTCGTCATTTGGTTATACGTTATCATTTTCAAGCTGAAAAATGTTCATCTGATGACAGCCAGAAATTGCACTTTTAAGTGTCGGCGTAACAATTTTTTTTTAAACATGAATCTTTTTTGTTTTGGGTAATTGAAATTAGCGAGATTTTTTAAAAAGTTCCAAAATCTTATCTTCTAGAGCATTCCAATTCGGATAATTTCGATTTCTCAAATACGGCTATAACATTATTTCATATGAGCATGTGGTAATTAAAAATTATCTCTCAGATAAAGGTAAATCAAAAAAAAAATACGTTGCGATATTGTGAACGTTTACATATTTCAACATCAATGGTCAGACAACAGAAATTGGGATTACCCAAGGGATTAGGGAATTCTCGTGAGATTACAAATGACGAAGTACGGTATTCAATATCAAGTTTTCACGTTGCTTCTTTATTTTTGTCTTATTGCCATCGCGTGATTCTGTTAGAAAAAAAAAACATTTTAATTATGAAGCCGATATTTTTAATGCCTCTTCCACTTAGCCTTCCGAAATATGATGTCATTGGCCCCAATGTTTGGGAGAAAATCCTATATTTCCATATATTACTCCCAATTTAATCAATAGTAATCCTTTAGAATACAAAATAATTTAAAAATTAAAAAAATCTTAACCAAAGCTATGCTGTACTTCTTGTACAATCCTCAAACTTGACGTTGCAAGTTTCAATGAAAAAAATAAATCTGTGTACATCATACTGCTTAATCTTTTCCGGATTAAGTCACTTTAAGAGTTTGATAACTTGTTAAATTTCAGCGTATAAACGTGACATTTCTAGTTGAACTATTCCAAAGTATTCAGAATTACCATATTCAAATTTGATGAGGTCACCTCTCGTGTGATAGTAATGATTAATAAAGTAGGGGCCGGTTTATATCGATAAACCTCCTTTTAGTTATTATTGTTGTTTTTTAAAAATGTTTTCTTTGAATGCACATTTTGCAACATCACCACGATATTTTACTTTGAGTTACTAAATTTCTTTAAATTTACCTGTAATTTCAGCAAGAACTTCCAACTGGAAGACCACAAGACATGATTGAGGCAAGTCCTATGAATGTGTATGGGACGTCGATGGATCACGGGTAGGTCAAATCTTAATCAATTGATGTAATTTCGAAAAATTACTTAGTGAATACAGGTATGAGTCTGGTACCAGCGTCGATTCTTCCAGACGCAACTCGATTGCCGTCCGCGAATTGCCAGTTATTGCCACAGGACGACGCCGCTACACGATGCAAAATCGAGTATATATATATATATATATTTAAATTAATGTCTACTATTCTAGATGCAGCTTTCGAGACCAACCGAACCAATTCGTAAGACTTCCTACCAGTCGCTGCTTTCAAATCAAAATAGTAAGCTTCATCTTTTTTGTTGAATTAATTTTTATGGGCTATTTGGGCCAATGTGAATTATCCAGACACATTTCATTGAATTAATGTCTTCCCGAATTTTAGTTGAAGAGGAACCAGCATCTCTCTCACGCCGAAGAATGAGCGTTCCGGAAAATATTTACAGACGATCGGTATGTTACTAATAGTGTATTTCCTTTTTGATTCAAATAATTATTCTAGGAGTTCGCCATTATGCGCCCAATCCGCAAGTTCACCGAAAGTTCCTATGAAGTGGTCTCGGCATTTGGTAATGCATTTCTAGAAGTTTATTAAAACATTCAGAATTTTAGATCGACGTGATGATCCTTATGAGGCTTTCATGAAGTCCATCACATGCTACGAAATGCAGCCAGTTCATAGTTGCATTGTCATGTTTGATTCAAGAACAAAGGTAGATCAAACCTCAATAATTTCCTCAAATGGACGAATTGAAGATACGCGTTGTTGTGAACGCGATGGCTCAACACGGCCATCAAGCAGCGGTTATCTTGAACACGGAGACCAATATCGTCGAATCCGTGTTTACCCAGAGTGATTGTCTCAGTGCTATCAACATGTTTGTCACTGGAGGCAATGAGGTTGCATTGCAAAATTTTCGGCGTCAAATATGTTGAGAAAATTGCAGGTCACGAAGCACACAGTGTCGGAATTCATGAAATTAATGGGAAATAATACGTTGATTTGCTCCGAAATGTCAAGCAGGTAAAAAAAAAGAAGAAGCTATTGGTCATTAAAATCTGAAATTTTTTGAATTACCTGTTAACATAAATGCAGTTTTGTTTCAGCGCTTGGGATGCTGGAAAAATTATTATATTGAACAAGCATAGCTGCGTTCTGGTCTTTGATTCGGTAGCTCAGTAAATAAAGAAAATGCCTAAAAATGCCCCTTTTTTTTTAGCTTTCCACAAAGCCTCAAACTTCCATTTACTTCCTCTCCATCCGCCGAATCTTGATGACGTCAGTTCTGAAATTGGTACCAACAACGGCTACACAATGGCCTTTCAACAAACTTCTAATTTTTCAGATGGATTTCGGCGAGGGATCAATCCTTTATGCGAAACAGGATACGATTGAGCAGAAGAAGATCGGAACCTGGGATGACATCACCACGGTACGCCAAAATTTTGATTTGCTAGCGGTTCACACATCGCCAAAATGACCGTCGATCTATGTTCGATTTTCGAAAAAAACAATTCAATTTTCCGGTCTCTCTTTCTCTCTCTCCTTCTCTATCTCTCCTATACACATTCATTCTTATGTTTTTTCGTCGCGAAACGATCAAGAGGGTTCTCTGCAGACGTCGGGTCACATGTCTTCCATTATTTCTCTGGAGATGGTGCACTTTTTGTTATTTGCGCCACATTGTTTTTCCATCTCTGAATCTCCGCATTCAGCTCGAACAATTTGTTTTTTTTCTCAATGAAAAAAAAAACAGAAATGTTCTCTTCCATCTCTTTTAGGGAAGAAAACGACGCAAAATTTTTTTCTTAGCGCTGGCAGTGCACTGAGTAATTGATGTATCTCTCATGTCAGAGTTTCATCGCAAGAGGATAAGAATGTGTAATATTAGAACTATTCATAATAAGCATTGCTTAATTATTTATTTTGTAAAAAAAAATGTTGAGGCTGCAAAAAATGAAACTTGGCAAAATTGAAACGATTGATCTTTTATGAACTTTTAAGATGAAAAACATGATATTTGTGTTATTAAAAAAAACGTATGATCAACGGAAAAACATAGGAGAAGGGTCAATGTACATCGGGGAGTTGATATTTAATATTTCAGGTTACACGGGACACAAAAATTCGTGATATCATCGCTATTTTTGTTGAAAAGTAACCAAAAACCAATACATTGGGAATAATCAAAAATTTAATAATTTTAGGAAGTTCGCTTGTATTCCAGTCGTTAATGAGCATAACCAATATGTTGGTATTATAACACGAAGAGATATAATCACCGAAGTTCTCGGATGTCAAGTGGCCAATCAAAAAACATTGGATCTTACAGTAAATGTAGGAACAATTCCTCCATCCCCCAAATGATAAGCGTTACATTTTCAGGACCTTCCGTGCTCTAAGGAGAGACCAATTTTCGGTAATAAGCTCATGACCATCGCGGAAGCCGTTCACAAGATTCTTCACACTGACAAACAGTCATTGGTAAGCCATAATTACTTTGGTCTTTTGACCATTAAGTGGTTTGTTTCAGCCAATTGTCAATGACAAAATGAAGATCATTGCTATTGTCAGCTATGGGGATATCCTCAGCTATATTCAGAGGAACTCAAGCCAGAAGAGTTCAGAAGTACCGTCGACCTCAGCGACGCCAACATTCGTTCTTAAATTGAACTAATTCTTTCATTCATTTCAATTTTCTTATTTTTCATCCAGATTTTAATTGTTTTCTTTTCTTTCTGTAGATTTCCTTTGTTACTGTTCATTCAACTGAACATATCATTTCAAAATCGAAGGTTGGGTAGGTGATTCCAGCAGGGATTGTTATCGAGAAGCTGCCGTTAATTTTTCTTCAGAAAAATGCGTTGTTGTGAAGTACGTTGTTTGTTGCATTCCTTACCTTTCTTGCCTAGAATACTGGAAATAGCCCGGAATTCTCGAGTTGTGCCTTTAATTTCATGATGTCCCTCTGAAATATCCTTTACAAACATATTGTCACGTTTCACCATCGCTTGTATTTTGTTTCACATTTCAATAATTTCCTATGAACTATTGGTTTTTATCAAATGAACATTGCGAACAATACAATTATCTAATGTGAAAAGAAAGATACAGGTAAAATGAGCAATCTAAAAATTAACCAGCATTCATATTTTCATAAGGGTGAGGGGGGGGGTATCAGTTTGGAGGGAAAACAATTATTAAACATCCAAATTAAACTAATGACACAATAAATAGTATAAATAAAATAGTAAAAAGTCGAAATTTATAAGGCAACTTCACGGTGGGCTGTTGGATGATTGGTTTGATTTGAAATAAGTAAAGAGATATAAGACGTCAGAAGATCGTCCATTTTGTAACCCTGAAAAATTATCATATACGGATTACATCATTTACGAAATGTCTACCATAGTTGTGTCCAGTAACAATTTTTTTCCTTCGTTTCCTTTCAGCATATTTCCAACGGTAATATTGAAATACGTGTTTCCACTTGTCCAATTGCATATCACGTTAAACGGATACTAAACATTCAATTGGGTTCCCAATTTACTCATCTCAGTCAAACCTGTACAAGGAGTGTTTTGTTCTCTGGATGGTAAATGTTCACTCCATTCTGATTGATCGCTATCAACAAGCGGTCAGGCAGACTCAAGTCGGAATATTGTGAAACTGGGAAGAAGGCTGAACCAAATGTTGGCCACTTGCTTATGTAATTCAGGAATTCAAGTTTGGCTTGATCCGATTTCAAATGCTCCACGCGAGCATAAGCGTTGCTGATAACCTGAAAATCACAGTTGGTTTATTATCAACATTAAGTTAATTGCCTTTCGCCATTCGCTTGCTGAATGCATTTTAAGGGAATCCTTTGGAACGAGATCCTCAAGAAGTTGAGGAATTTGAGTTAATGGAGCCATCTACAAAGTTTTTTGTTTTGTACTTCCATCTAAATCGGCTCTGCAAACCTTTGAATCCTGAGTAATAGCTCTCAAAATAAGAGCTGCCAACTCTATAACATCCTTCTTTGTAGTTTTGTGATAACCAAGAAGATATTTCGGGCATTCTTGATTATAATGGAAAATCAAATCCGCTTGCGGGTCATTTCCAGGAACCACATTACACCAAAGTTTGCGCATAAAGTACACTTGGTAGTTAATTGGAACCATCGCTGTATTCTTCTGTAGAGCATGGTTAGTATGAACCCAATCGGATAATTGACGAACGAAATCGAAGAAGAATTCGGTTTCGGGAACAGCAAGAACTTGAAAAAAAGAACAATCATTTACCAGAATTCATTTAAAAAATCACTTACTCTTGTCTTTAATTTTGACAAAAAGACTGAAACCTTCAGACGATTTCAAACCCAGTCGATATCCAATTTTCTGGCAAAAATCGCAAGCCCTTGTTGCCGAATCCACCTCAATTGCTTCATCTGTGTGATCTGGGAAGAAGACTTTGTGGAAGATTTGCGTTGTCTTATGCTGAATTGCCTCAACTTCAACCATGTGTGGCGGATATTTACGACTTCCACCCCTAAAACATAAATATTTATCGCGATTTTCATTAAAGTTCAAATTTACTTGGACAACTTCTGCATTCGATTTTGGCAATCGAGTGCAATTGGATGTGGTCGGGACTTCAAGAAATGCGAGACTTCTTTAGCAAGTGCAGCACTCGGAGCGAACAATCCGGTAACAAGCCAAAGAAGTTCCCATCCCCTCTCCTCGGAAATCATGGATGGATTGAATGTTAGTTGTTTGATGATTTGACAATACAACTCATCACGGAGAACTTCCTGCAATCATATTTTAGGAGTTGAAGATTTGTTAAACAATTAATACAATAGCGATGGGAAGTTTGAAGATATGATCGGTCAGATGTGTGCCAAGACGGCTTCTTTTCGATGGTTCATCTCCCATGTATTTCATTATTGTTGCGAATATTTCAATGGCACCACGGCTCGCGTCATCTCTATTAGTTCAAATGATATTCATTTCTTGGTTGGACAATTTTTATCGCTCACCTTTCTTTCAACTTCTTCAACAGAGGCTCATCGATAAGTTCACGTGAGAATCGCCAGTTTTCAATTACTGTATCTTTCTTGCGCAACGTCATTAAAGATAATTGCGATCCGACACGTTTAACTGGCGAGCTAAATGGACAATTTTGATAAATGGCACATAAATGAATTTCAACTTGAAATTGTTCTCAGCGAATGAGGCCAATGTGTAGGGCTCCGAATTATAATCGACAATTGAGACGTGCTTATTGTTATTCAGTTGATCCAATGACAAATCCATGTCCTTCGGGAAGAATTGCTGAAGTTTAAATCAATTTGACCCAGATCTTATAAATTTGTTTACCAATGTTGCCTTAGATGGTTTTGTGAGAGTTGGTAGCACATAAACATTTTCAGTTCGTATTAGTCCAAACAGACACGTTCTTGCATTTTCTCCTTTCACGACACTTTCCGTCAAAAGTGTTTCACCAGTGAATTCGTTGATTAAAATCAGCAAATCGCCCTTCTCAAACTCGACGAAATTATTCGCTTCATCTTTTTTCTGTGGCCGGATTGCCACAAGATATCTACTTCTTTTCTTAAGGCCTTCCAAGAACGAGCTGATGAGATTAGTGACGTCGTCGGCGTTTGGTGATTGGAACGTGTACTCGTCTCCAGCAACCGTTCGAATTGTACAAGTATCGGTTGTACTTCGCTTTCCTCTTCAATAATGAAAATAGTCGGTATAAAGATTTGCACAAACATTCTTACTTTCCGTAAACGGTGCTTGAAATTTCGGGAAACGTGAATTCAAGCATAACGTGCTCCCGATCATCTACGACATACACACCAGTCCAGTTAACAGCAATGATAACTTCATTCTTTGGCAGAGGTGGTCCCGCAAATTTGAGAGCTTCGTAGAATCTTCAACAATAATGCGAATAACTAGCACAACGATATTGAAATTGATTTACCTGGAGAATAAGAGAGGCCATTTTGATTTTGCCATTGTGACAACGTCTTCTTTAACTTCAATTTGTGTTGGTAGACGCCCAGTAAATTTCTTAAACAATATCTCGAGTGATGATTGTTGAAACATTTGCAAACCTTTCTATATTGATGCATAATCATTTGTGTCCATTTTTCTATTGCCATTTCTTTTCCATTAAGTTCAAAATCGGGGAGATACGAAACAATCAAATTCTCCAACTTGTTGACATCCATCGGGCCTTCATCTATATAATATTGTTGGGCGCAAATTGCGGCAAGTTCTTCCTCCTGAAAAATTCCATTTTTATATGGCTTATAAAAACAGAGAAAGGATTACCCTATCACAGCGGTATTCGCCATATTTAATGCCGCGAACAATTTGTTGATATGTCAAGTTGGTGCTAACAGGGTCGGCTCTGTTATAATTCAAATTTGCTTTTCTAATTATAACGACGATTACTTTGGATCATGCCACGGACTGAAAATTTCCTTTCTGAAGAACAATCTCCATGGCGCATTTCTCTCCTGACGTCCGTGTTCCTTAGCATATTGCTCACATTGGGAAATGGCATCCATCAGATGATCATTTCCACTTCCAAGCGAGGATACCTAGAAAATGAACTTATTATTGAACCTCGATTTTTTCCAAATACCTTGTCGAATAACGCAATGTAAAGACTGAATCCAAAACTTTCAGTGAGTCCAACTTTTTCAGCCAACTGTTTGCAAAGCTCGGAAGCAGTGGTTGCAGAATCCGCGCAAAGCGTCTTTACACTTCCATCCATGAATGTCACCGCCAATACAACAGACTTTTGCGACTTATTAGCTTGAAGCTCAACATAGCTTGGAGGCTGATGCCTTGTTCCATTCGCCTGCGTTCTCCTTAGTCGTTGCTCAATATAGACGGAGTAGCCAGTGCCGGCAGGGCCGCGCTTGCGAATGAAGCAATAGAGATATTTGATGAACTTTTCCGACGGCGCAAAGCATCCAACACACAATGACAGCAAAATCCATCCGCGAGCAGCGGAGAGTTTCGATGGATTATTGCTGAGCTGCTTACAGAGCTGACAATAAATTTCATCTCTGCAAAAACATCCATTTGTTTCACGAAACGCTTAATTCACAAAATTACCTCAAGTCTTCTCGCAAAATACCTAGACCAATGATATAATGAAGTTTGTCGAGGCTGCTCATAGGCTTGTTGTCCATCATCATCAAATTGAATCCAGAAAGCGATCCTTCCGATGACATTGAAGAAGTGTCTGATCCTGAATTCGAGGGAATATTATCAAGAAATGCCAAATTCTGGTACCATTCAGCTTCGATTTCTTTTTGAGAGTCATGCTCATTAATTTCTTGCCCATTCCTTTTTTGAGTGTACGACTTCCAACAAACTCGCTGGCAAGTGATGCTTCTTCAACATCTTTCGAACTGTATTTTCTTCCGAGCGTCGCATAAAGTCGACTCATCACTGGAGTTTTATCCTAAATATCGAAAAGTGGAAGAACTATGCAAACTCGAATTACATAAATTTCCGTTCCATTTGTTCCACTTTGTTTTGCTTCTGGAAGATCTCCCATGAATCTTAAAATGGTCGTCCAAACAGCAAGAGATGCCTGAAATATTAATATTATTATTATTTTCTACTATTTGCTGTGTACCAATTGAGCACTTGGTTCTGTATGAGTGAGCAGTGGCGCCTTCAAGACCTTTTTACAATGAAATGATGTAGCCTGGGCTTGAAAGAAAGTAGCGGCAAACTTTCCGAACTGGTATTTGCTCAAATCCTCATCTTCAGTGATTTGGTTTTTCATTGTGTTGGTTGGCAAAGCAGGAGATGGCTGAAATTATGCATACCTTTATAAACTAATATTTCTAGTTTTACATGTAATTTTGCATATGATCCTCTACGACTGCTCTCAGCACTCTCATTTTCATTTCCCGAGTCTTTTCCATCACTTGGAAGGAAATCAAAGATATGATCGACCTGAAAATTCATTTTAGTTAGTTGAAAAAATAAAGAAATCTTCAAAAAAGAAAGATGGAACATGCTTTGAAAGAATTGAAGAAGAATAGACACTATCATTCACTCGAAAGATAAGAAAATTTGAATTCCTGGGTAACAAAATATTGATATGGCTGTCGAGCTGTAAAGCAGTGGCCTAGAAAATTTAGGTCACTCCGCACGACTTACGCAATGCTTGCTTTTTGTAGCTTGCTTGATCTTATTAGTTTTATTTGACAAGGGGTAATATGAATTTTTCTTCGATTAACGATATATTTGATTTTTAAATAACCGAATTTTTTCATTTAAACAAAGCTAATTTTATATTGTTCCCCAAAACCCTATAGAAGTAAGAATATAGAAATGAATCATGCTTTTATAACCCATTTAGAAAGAAATTTGAAATTCTAGAAATCCCTAAAGAACACTCTATTCTTCTGTTTCACCTTTGTATTTCTCGCATCTAGTAAATCTTTCTGAAGCGGCAATTATTAAACCAAATTTTGTTTAACAAAAATTCATACTAATTCTTCCTCGTGTGAATCCGAAATGACCGAATCGGCCGATGATAGATCAGACATCGGCGCTTTCTGTTCACCACGTCTTCTCATTTCGCCAATTCGCTTTCTTAATAGCGTTCCACGACAATGCGCCTACAAATTAAAATTTTCAGTGGAATGCCGTTAAATGACTGGTACCTGGAATTGGATAATAGTCTTGCGAAGCGATTGGTAATGGTACACGAGCTGTCGAGATCGAAGAACTGCCTGGAGGCGCGAGAAACCAGAAATGATCTTAAAGACGTTGATAATATAATTGGAATGCGTTTACATGTGATCACCTGCTTGTACCGCTTCCGCTGATCGTAACCTCGCCAAGCGGTTTGGATCCGTATTGCCGCTTGCTTTTGCTTATCGAAATCCTTCTTGACAAGCCATCTTCGCACATTCTTTTGAATCACTATCGCTTTCTCTTTGAGTACTCGATAATATTCTTGTTCCAAGAACAGATCGTGTCGATCTTTTAGGAACACCTTCGTTTTCCCTAATTGATAATCCTCGTTGGCGCCGAGAACTTTGCGACAAATTATCTTCGCGCACTCATGAAGATCTAATCGCTTCGTTGGGCCTTCTAAACACGAACTAATCATGAGATTGGCATACCGACCAGCTTACTGATTCCAGGAACAAGAACACGATAACGGAAAACAAAATGGTAATAGTCGTGACGAATCGGGTAACCGCTTCTTCGAATCTTGATAGTTTCCATCATTCCCGAATATCTCAGTTGTCTCAATACCAACTCTCGATCCATAACCTGAAGTGAAAAGAACGGTTTGATAAAGTTACGAGCTTTTAGTACCAATGCGCGTTTCATCTCGTTAGGCTTGATACACCGAATGAAGAATGGATGCGTTTTTGTCAGCTGTGCCATCAAAGAATCCAAAGATTTTCGAAATTGACTTCCAACTGTCACTTTCTTTCTATAAAATACAACGTGAATAATAACGATTTATATGTTGAATACCTCGATCCAGTATCATATTCCAAATCATCAAACAACCTAGCCAAAAATGGCATTTTCGATGTGGCAATGAGCGATGACAAGTCCGTTGAGAAGGAATCGCGATTCTTTTCCAAAATTCCTCTAGTGTTATAAAACACATTTCCCGCAAAATGAGTGATTCCAAAAGCTCGCTGAAGTTCGGATTTTGGTTGAAGGTAAAGCTCATTCTTTCCATGCGCTCCATGAAGTTTCAAAAGCATTGTCTTGTCGGTACCCTAGGTAAAATATATTTGAATTCATCAATTTCCTTGTTTTACTACTTTTGGGAAGATACTTTCTTCATCAATAAGCGACATGATATTCATGGGTCGTTGAGCTATAAGATCCACAGTCGCCTGATTATCGACAAAGCGTATATGCCTCCAATTGATATGCTCTTCATCATAATCCTTTTGCTCCATTTTGAAGATATGTTGCACAAAGAACTGTTGTAGGCATTCATTAGCATAATTGATGCACAATTGCTCAAAACTATTCGAATCGAAATTCTCAAACCCAAAAATATCGAGAATCCCGATTGAAGTCCTTCGCGTTTGCGATGGCCTTAAACGAATGCAATGATTAATTATGTATTAGTAATGCGAGATAATTACTTATAAATTGCATCATTAACGCGACGCACGATGTAAATGAATAGTCGACCGTAAATGGCTTTCGCTAAAGCGTCTCTCGCGTCAACAGCTTGTTGGCCATTCAATCTCGAGATTACACGTTCTTCTCTTGTAACCAAACTTTTTGTGGTAATTGCTTGAAGCAAGTCTCCTTCGCGAAGCTGGAGTTAACAAAAAAATGTAAACTAGTTTGGGTTTGGTTAGACTACCTGAAGGAGTTTGGCAATTCTCACGAGAATCGCTGGATCAGCAACATCCACAGACTCCATATTATCATTGCTATTTGGTCGAAATCGAATATTACCGATATGGAGAAGGGCGGCGAGAAGCTTAAAAATGCTCCAAGTTTCTTGTTCATTAATCATCAAGACTCGCATAGCTGAACGGATTTCAGCAAGATCTGCGGCGTCATCTCGACCATCAGCTGTTAGCGTTTTTCCCTAGAAGACAGATTATATCTAATTGTTTTTTTTTCCAAGTATGATGGATTTCACCTGTATAAGATAGTAGTAATCAGCAGCATTACCAAGCTCGAGTTCCCTTTTTTCATCTCTCGACAATCCCGCCAGTAAGCAATAGAAAATGTGATAATTTCTCTCATTTTCCGATTGTGTTACAATTCGAGACTTCTCCAATAGATATTGCTCAATTTTGGCGCCTTCGATTGAACCGCTTTCATTGAAATGCACATCGATATACTTTCCAAATCTCGACGAGTTGTCGTTGCGAATTGTCTTCGCATTTCCAAATGCCTCAAGAACCGGGTTCGCTTCAAGAACTTGTTGTTCTATCCAACTATGTTGCCCGCTAATTGTCGCGAGGAATTGAAGTACGAGTTTTGTCGATTCGGTTTTTCCAGCACCCGATTCGCCGCTGAATTAATTAAAGTTTGAAATGCACATGTTTGGGGGGGGGCATTGTTGCAAACCTAATGATTACACTTTGATCGCGTTTTTCGCGTCTCATGTTTGTATAAGCGTTGTCAGCAATTGCGAAAATGTGCGGCGGCAGCTCCCCAATTCTCTTCTTTTTGTACATACGGATTTCATCGGCTGTGTATATTGCAATATCCATATAAGGGTTAACCGCAATCAAAATTGATCCAGTGTAAGCCTGAAACCTCATATGCAAAATTTGAATCGGATATGTATTTCGCATACATAAATAAGCTTCTCCCTATAACGAATGAACAGATTTCTGAGGATAGCGCTTTCATGAAAATCTCCAAGTTGGCACATATCCTCGACTCCTTGCACGGAAGTTGGATGCATCAATTTCACACGTCGGTCCGCTGAAAGCCATTGCTCCTGAAATACACAAAAAGAGTTTCCAATTTGGCCTTGAAAATCCCTTGAATTTGGTACACCGATAAGTTGTTAATGTTGTCAGATAAGATGATTGCAGCGACGCGCGGGGCAAAAGGATTGAGGTCAAGATCACCAGAAATTATTGCCGTCGGGAAACTAGCGATATTAGTTGAAATTAACAATACATACAGATTATAATTTCATGCAGAAGGAATTGAGAATTTGGAAAACATTCAAAATTGATGCAAGGTGGAAGAAAAAACAGGAAAAGTCTTGAATAACTCGGAATATTTTTTTTTTCACAAGAATTGTAACATTTCTTCATATTAATTATCTAACCCGAATATATTCTATAAGACTTTATACAAAAAAAAAACAATTATTCCCAAAAAAACTTTTTTATAGTAATTCGAAAAAAAATTAAATATTTCTAGTATTTTTGCAATTAAAGAATACTTACATTTCCAAGATCATCAATAACTTTGAGTCTTCCGTGATTTTGATCAATGACCCTCGCAGCAATCGGAATCGATCCCTCATTTTTTCCGGGCTCGATCCAAATAAAATTACCCTAAACTCACAAAAATAGTTCATGAATTGATAAAATAGTTTACTTTTGTGACAAGTACCATTTTCGACTATCAATCGCACATAATTTTCTCGTTTTTTTTTTTCGCTTTCTGCAAAAATGTACGAAATTTTTAAAAGCAAAAGAACGAAGGAGAATGTCATAGCACGAATGAGTATGTGAGAGGGGAGGGGAAATGATTTCCAAATAAGATAAGTCGATGTGTTCCGTTCAAAGACTGTCAATACTTGAGAAGGGAAGCACCATGTTGCGTAGCGCTTGTTTTTCGATTTAGCCTTCGCCACCCCCCCCCCCTCGTTCGCCACATAATCGGAAGCCATACTCAAATGTGTTTTACAAATACAGAAATTTTAATGGAACTCTGTGAAAATCATGAATGAGAGATGCGGAGAGAAAATGAACAATTGATATTTGATTGGTGTTAATCTCATATCTCTTCGGAATGCTGGACTGCGCCGCTGACAATACCAAATCAAAAACAAAAATGAGGTCAGTTGAATTAAATGATGAAACTTGAAAGACCTAATTTGCAATTTGGAATCGTACGAATGCAAAGACAATGCTGCTAGTGTCGATTTCAAAAAAAGCATAGTTATCGACATATAGTAATCACCGTCATGTACAAATATTCAGTAAGAATCGGGTCAATTTGAACAAGAAGAAATTGCGACGAACGATAAGCATAACTAGTTGTTGAATTCTTTGAATGACGAACAAAAAAGTTGCCTGCTAACATAAGAATTAACATTTAATTATGTTCGGAAGCTGTGATGATAAGTTGACAAGTGCTAGAGAAAACGAATGAAATCGAAAAGTCCTTGAAGCAGCTAATAAAAACCGATTGAATTGATGGCATTAATCGAATAGTTATGACAAGTGGCAGGAAAGTCATAATTTTTATTCATTCACTAAGAAGATTTATTACAGTAGATGTGAATGAATTGAAGATTCTGTATTACGAAACGGTATTTCTAGATTTAAAGCCGACCAAAAGGATGTGATTAGTACGCAATTTCACTGAAGGAAAACAGATTTTAAACCATACAAAAACCACATTTTATATATGATAAAATTTAAAATAAATATAAATCATGTCGAGAAAAATTTAGAAACAGAAAACATCGAAATCAAAAACAATAAAAGGAGTCAACATATGAAGGAATTCCCAATTCGGCGGGTTGAGCATCATAGAAATCAATTTAAAAGAACTACGATTTGTTTGTTTAAGGAGCAAATCTAAATCTATGTACAGCGAGATCGAAACGAATTCGAAAACAATGGAATATAATGTGTATACATATAGGGATATCAAGGATCATATTGCGTCCTCACTGGACGATGGTGGGAGGGGGGTGGCAGTAATTGGAGAAGAAATAAGATACCCGCGAAACGTTTATTACTATTTGCCCGATTAAAGAAGCATAAGTGCAATTGGTTTGCTTAGAAACGTTGGATGACTTAATTTAACCTGCGAAAAAGGCATAAGAATCATTCTTATGTATTTATCAATGTTATCAATGATAGTAAAAATTGAGGGCAGAGAAGAGAGGAAGAGCGTGTGCTGATAAGTTTTTACGAAACAAACAATTTCAGCTCGATTATCGATTTATCGCGCAGATTGGAAGAAAAGTTTCGATGAATACAGAAGCCGGTCTAGGAAAAATTGTCACCCGATTTTGCCCTTTGTTTTTTTTTCCTGTTGTGTGCCTGCGCGACTCTCGGTCTCTTGCGCGAATAATCAAGAGAGAAACCGGCAAACAAAAATAGATTCTGAACGTCGGTGGTGGTCATCCAGCGGCCGTTGCTCGCGACAAGCAAGCGGTTTCGCCTCGGACATTGCCGCCATCACCACACAACAGAGCAAAAACTATTTGTTCGAAAAATTTGTCATTTTTATGCTCCCCCCCCGCGTAGACAAGAGAATCCGAATCCAACTGTTTTGTTTGTCGATTGAAAATCGAACTGGAATGAATTATCGGGGGGGAGCAAAAACTTGGAGACAATACGAACAAAAAGTGAGCAGTGGATATATAGTAGGAAAAAAAAGCGGCAGGAAAATAAATTGTTTTATAACCAAAATTGCATTGTAAACTTTTAGCATTTTTGTTACTAAAAAAAATAATTTTCATATGGATATTTGAAAAACGAAACGACTTTAAATCAGATAGAAGCGAAACGTTTTCACTTTTTCATTTAAATGCACTGAACGTAAGAACTGTAAAACTGAAATAAACGGCAATACCAACAAAATATAATTCGTAGTCTGTAAAGAAATTAAATATTATAGGGTGTTGCGACATGATAATATTAAAAAAAAAAAAACACACACCATGGATAACCCTTAGCTGCGAAATAATGCAAATTGCTTGGTTGGCAGTTGGTGACAAATCTCATACAATGTGCAAAAGCCCAAAATCACATATTCAACTATATAGTAATAAAATAATAATCCTTATTGGTACTATTCTTAATACAATTGTATACCGTTTTTCAGGTACCAATAGAATTATTGTTATAAAAATTGATATTTTAAGGATAAAGTAATGAAAAGGATTGGAACAATTTATAGTTGTGTTTCGAAGCTAAATTTTTATTGTAATGACTAACGAAAATAGAGAAATGTGCTGTAGTACATTGAGTCATTATTAAACCTCACAATTTTGTATCTGGGACCAAATTAGACGAGAATTAAAAGACAATGTGGCGTCGCATTGCCACACAAAACATAGAGGGGTGCGAAACCCCGAAACTGTCGGCTGCACTCGTTGCATATGCATCGCACTGTCTCGCTACATTCGTTCAACATAAATTATCGCGGGCCTTCCATAAGACCCCGTAGCCAATTTTTGGGATCCCTAGCATTTGTTAGGGATATAAACGTTTATAGTTTAACGAAAGCTGCTGAAACGCCTTTGTTATGATGGAAATAATGTTAATTTTGTTGCGAAATGAATTTATTAATGAAATATTCAAAATAAATATATGGCAAGATATATAAATAAAGAAAATATAGATTTCAAGGAAAATTCTTTTGTACTATATAATATCGGACTAATAAGACGGAGTTAAATAAGGAAAAAAACATTAAAAGTCGCCGATAATTAAGATCTATATATAAATATAGGAACGTCTTGGATATGAGAAAGTGAGAGAGAATCTCGAAAATCATAAAGTATTTGATTGTTTTCAATAAGCATGGCGTGTCGCATTTGTGAATGGCCGGATTTTTGAATAATATTCGAGAAGGAATGGCTGAACATTGTTCTCGTCAAGCTTTCCGTTCGAGTAGCATTCTTGGCAGAGGAATTGCGCCGGGAATTGGTATTTGGGGAACTTCGGGTCTTCAGTTTCTCGGCCGCGCAATCTGGCGTTCACTTGGTTATGCGCTTTCCACAAATACAAGTAAACATCCTCAGGTCGGCGAACCTGAAACACACAATTCTCTATCCAAAGTGTCAACAATTCCGTTACTCACATTAGCTTCAAGTTTGAATGTGTTGGTGGTCATTCGCAAGAAATGATCGCGACAATGCATACAACCAAAGAATGAGCCAACCCAGTCACGAATTGATTGAAGAGGTGGAAGAGGGAGTGTAACATCTAAAAACCATATTTGGAGCCACATTTAATTTTCCTTTTTATTACTTGAAGTCTTAGCGAGCCAGTGCTTATATGCAGAAACGGTCAACGCATGGAAGGTTGTCCACAATCCGCAAGTGTATCCTCTAAACTGTGTGGAAGATCCAGCACAGTGATCCCAGTCAGCATTCAATGGGAATGGATGTCCGGCTTCTTCTTCAGCTTCAAGGAACTCGTGCTGCCATTCATCGATATGAATTGTTGCATCAAAACCTTTGTCGGCAATAAAATCACGAAGACGTGAAAAGACTTTAACAGCACGGCTGGAGCGATCAAGGTGTGCGGTAATCTGAAAATGTTTTATAAGTTCTTGTAAAAAGAGTTCCCTGAAGAGTACATTGTCATGAGCTCCCTCAAGGGTTGTTGTTGGGAAATTGTCAGCAAGAAGACTCGTGAAGGAATAAAGGGCTGAGAGGTTGGCAGCTTTCAAAGAGCCACCTAAATAGATTCATTAAATCAATTCGTTGAATCTCAATTTGAATACCAGTTCTCACAGACTCTCTAAATAAAGCGTATCTCATGGCTTTTAGCAAATCAACTTCTGAGACGTAGTAGTTAGGTTTGCATAGCTCGGGATTCTTATTGCAATTCAGTGAATAATTTTTCCTGCTGCTGAAGTGAATTGATTGCAAATTATGGTCCGATGGTTTTCCGAGGAATCCATTGATCTCACGGAGCAAAAGTCGACGGAGCCTGAACACATCGATATATTAGAGTAAACATGACATCATACTCAGCAACAAGAACTGGTTTTCGTTCTCCTCTCTTGAAAATAGCAAGCGATGGAAAATCAGTAATTTTTAACGCTTCTGCCAATGGATGGCTTTTCAAGCATCTTCTGGCCACAAGTCGTTCACGGTTCTCAGTTAAATCAAGGATCAGCTAAAAAATTATTAAATTCAATTTCTTTAGAATAAATTTGAACTTGAGCTCCAGTAAGACTAGCTTGATTGGTCTCGAAAATAATTGCGATATGATTTGCCGTCGCTGCAGTGTCGTTCCAAAGTTCGCCATATGTTACAACACTGAATAAATTGATTAAACAAAACTCTATAAGCCCAATTCTTACTCCTTGAGAAACTCGAAAGTTGGCCAATCTCGATATTTATGAATAGCATAGTCATCCATCACCGCTTTTGTCAAAATTCCCCTCATTTCTGATACTGTTGGATATGGTTTGATTTGCGAACTTTCGGTGATATTAGTGGCATCGCGCGGGAAATACTTCAAAAATTCACTATAAGTACAATGCACTACTAATCAAGATTACTTTGATGAGCGGAAAGAATCGGACACCATTCGATCTACAAATGTGTTCATTGACCGAATCAGCGCAATTTATAGCGGCGACCTGAAAAAAAAATGCATGTGAAGAAGAAGAAGACTATAGGAATCAATTGTGTCTGTTGAATCGTTCTTTGTACATTTATATTACTTATCAAGATTAACAAAACCGCAAATTCCTGTGATTTGTGAATTTTATGAATGGCGAAATTTTGTAATTTTTGAACTACATGAATGGTTCTTTGCAAAGACATTGTGGTAATAATTATTTCCGCTTATATTTCTACTTCCTTCGTCATTTTCTCGTATAGAGCGATCAGAGTTCTCTGATGTTCGGCAATGAAATATTCTTATCGACATCCGCCTAGTCTTGCAAATATCAATTTTTGTTACCTTCACGATATTCTTCCAACCCTTCACATCATCTGCAAGACCTTTGTAAGTCGGCGCAAAATGACGACAATGTCCGCACCAATCGGAGTAGAACTAGAAAAAAACATATGGTTTGATGACGAAATAGATAAGTGATTTCAATCAAATAACCTCGACAAGATATCCGGCGTCACCAGTTGAACTTCCAAAAATTGTATCATTGAATGTCGTCTCATCGAGTTGCAGCACGTTATCTTCAGGTGAATAGAGGGTCGGATTTGCGCCTTTCGGTGAATGCCCATAGCTGGCGATATCCGCTAACACCGAAACGGAAAGAAATAAGAGAAGAACGATCATCTGGAAGATTGAGATTAAAGGTCTAGACGTGTTATTGTGATGGGATGAAATCGACGAAGGCAAAAAAACACATTGTGAGATTGAAAATAAAATGGCGGGGGGCACAAACACGATGTGCTCTTTTTCAGACCACTTGAAGCAAAACAGCGAGTTTTATTTTGTTTTGTTGTTTTTTGCTCGATGCATGACGAAAGTACATGCATTCAACATATGTGACGCAGTATTTGTACAGGCTTTTGTTAAATTACATAATTTTTGCATAAATTGAATGTAATACATGCGATTTCGAACAATCATTCACTTACCGGAAGCAAGGAAATTTCTAGTAGTGATAAACAAATGAACATATGATGGGAGGAGAATGTTATGCTAATGAAAGGTGTGCCAAGGTCGTTTGTTTTGTAATAAATGGATCAGAAACTGGTATTGTATTGCAGAAACAAAGAAGAGAGATCAGTTCAAGGTTCAATAATATACATGCATACGACACGGTAGGATGATGAGAAAACAGAATGAATGAATTGGAGAAAATCGCGAATCAAATAAAAACGACTGATGATGGCTGATGGGTGGTTCTCGTCGATTCTGATTGACTAATTGATCGAGGAAACGGTTCACACACTCTGTACAAACATGCGCAAAAACAAAACCGGAACGGTTTTTATCGGCCCACCCGGCAATGGCGATTAATAAGACGCTTTAATCTTTTGCTATTTTTTTATTGGCGATGCAAGTGCGCTGCCGACATTTTAGGCAAACATAACCATATAATAAATTGCATTTTTCAATCGTTTAACGAAAATTGATAGCCCTTTGAGTTTTGAATCAACAAATTCTCGACTCGAATATAAACAAATTTGGCTAGATTTTTTACTGAAAAATGATATAGATGTTGGTGTATGTGTGTGTGTCAGTTTTTGGTCGAACCGAGATGAACTTTGAAAACATAAACAATTGAAGCAACAAAATTGGAAATGAGTGCAAATAGGCGATGCCGAAACGACGGTAGTCTCTCTCTTGACTTGCGCACGCTTCTTCATTCCTTTCTTCCCGATTGATACCACAAACCGAATACAAACACTGCAAGGGGCACTCGTCAGAGTTGTTTGATGTGACAAATCCGAAAATGGAGCGAGTCACCATCCCGAAATACTTGAAACGGTAGTTGAAATGGAACGGTATTATTGCAAATGGAAAAAGCCGCCACCAGCGAGACTAGTTTCGCATTCAAATGCACAACACCCAGCTCGATTGTGCATTGGACACGAAGGAAGGAAGCTTTTTAAAGTTTTTGCGGTGCAGCCAATAACAAATCGAATTATTTGGAAAGTGCGCTTCAAATAAGGTGAGGGAAAATTGAAAAAAAAATGTTTTACTTGCAAAAATCATAATAATATATGAAGCCAAATAGTCACGATCAAATATTAACCATGAGATCTTTATTTATTTTTTTAAAATGCTAGCTATAGAAAAGGGAAATCGACATTTTTGCTGGTAGTATTTTCCCTCGAAACGCTTGACCAAATAAGCACAACTCTAGACTTCAATAATAGCAGAATTAAAAACAAACTGAACCTTTACGCATTTTCCTATTGACAAATCCATAGATCATGACAATGCTTTCTCCGTGACATTTATAGGTGCCGTGTTCCATGCGCTGGCCAATACAATACAATAAAACCGTCACTTGTGTTTTCGAATACCGATATCAGTCATTTCGATTGGAAAAAAAAAATTATGTTTTGATAAAGTCTTGTCAAAAAAAGGGAAAGAATTCCATGAAATTTCAGAGAAACCATATTATGTTATGTTTCATGATGTTTTGATTTTCTCGCCTATTTCCTGTAGGGACGGAGAAAACGTTTCACAAATGCAACCATTTCAACAACACCGCCAACGGATATGTTTGAACATCCATTTACGAGGATTTAATGAGTCGATCGAATCGGCGTATTCACATACATATATGCAACCTAGTTTTCATCCTTTTCCGAATTGTTTGGTTTTGGTTTCCCTCGCGCCACCATCTCTTTTATTTCTCAATAACGAGCTCGACGAAAAAAAAAGCAAAAGTTTCGTTGAGTTGACGACCAGAAACAAAAACTAGGCAGAAGAAAAACACTATTTTTATTATTATTACATTCTGGTCGTCGAGAGGGCTCCCTGATTGTTTTGACGAACTGGTGTGATGGACCGAGTGACACTGCCAATTTCAAGAGAGCAACTATATCTTTCCCTGAAATATATCAATTTTCTCCTTGCTCTCAAGCATTTGTCTTTGAGCGTATGATGACTCTTGATTTTTCGATAACTCTTGACCTACTTTTGCCAGTCCATTTGTCTCGTATTAAACAAAAACCTTCATTTACCAATTTTATATGATTTAAACTATTTTTAAGATAATTTTTCAACTTATCTGTAACTCATATTCAAAAAAAAATATTAAAAAACTAAAAAAGTTAGGAATAGTTTCAATTGTTTAAAAAGTTATTTAATTTATTTCGGCATTATGAAATAGAATGAGTCACTGTTTTATCACCTTTAGAAGAAAATTAATCAAATTGACCGTAATAAAAATTTCCCAATTCTCCAATTTGTTCCAAAATCCATTATTTTGCTTTTGGAAATTATAGCACATGTCATTTTTTAAGCTGCTTTATTTATTATTATAATAAAAACGAAACGCCGGAGTCCTGCAATGTTTAACGAAAGTCATTCTCGGAAAAAAAAACCAGCGGGTAAAACAAACTTGAAAACTAGGTCTTCACGTTTCAATATTCATGCGCAATTACTTCACACATTTTCTTCCAATTCTTGCATTCGATCATCGAAACACTTTTAATTCCACTATCGTAGTGTCAAGAAAAGAAAAACACAACATTTGTCCTCAACATTCCTCGATGAATTGTCCGGAAAGTGGTTTTCCAATTAATTGCTTCCGAGAAGAACTGATTGTTTGCAAATTCAAGGTGATTCCGAATAATATATTACGCAGATTTTTGTCAATTTTATCGACAAAATTGATGGAATGTGATGATAAGAACATAAAGCGGATTGATTAAATTGTGAAATTTTGAGCCACCCCAATATTTACCCAAAACCACCATCGATATGAATAAGTTGATAAACATCATTTGCCATCACATCAACTATTGTGGGTGGCGGGAGGGTTTTGTGATAGACCTTTTCAAATTTTTCGAAAATTCCCAATGAAATTGACAATTTCAAACTAAAATACCAACTTCTGAAAACAGTTTTTTTTATCAGCTCAGTGATCTTGTTTTCATATCGAATGCCTTCGGGAACATTCCGCCGACAATGTGTGTAATTATGAAGGCACCACTCGGCGTCATTGTTGTGTTATGCGCGATGCTCCGCCGACCATTCATTGTCCCAATATATCCATTAATGTTAAATATATAATTGGTCTTATTCAATAATTTTCTGTATCATTAAGTTTTGCGAAAATTATAATGAGGAGTAAATAAATAGGCGCATTCCAATCTTTGCATTCCATTGCATCTGATTCGCATAGTCAAGATTATAACTTGGCCGCGTACGAAAATAGTGCTGCATTGAGTGGAAATCGAGAGATACCCAATAGTACCCATTGGAACCTCTGACTTTCTAATCCTCCGACAGTTGCCTACCTCTTTTCCCGTCTCATAATGTTACGGGACCGGCACACAGAGACAGAAATGCGCGCTGTTTAGTAACATATGTTGCTGTTTAGCTTCTATTTGATTACTGCACTCTTTCCACGTTTCTAATTAATTAATGTAAAGTCAAAAGTAGCAAAAAAGAAATTGAGTTTTTTTAATGAGCGAGAAATAACGTTGTTTTCATTTTATTTGTGACCTTGACAGTTGTTCATATACAAAATTCGACGAACCTAAAATTTTTAGGAATGCTCTTTTCACGTAAAAAAGTAACGGCGTCTATTGAGGGCACACAAGGGAAATACGTGAAGCGTGAGAGCCCGCCATCAGTTCCATCATTATCAGGTATCATTCACTTTGCGTTCACAACAAAAAAAACGAACGATTTACAGCGACGTCAGTTGGGAGGACTCGACGGAGCCCGATGAGCGCTTCAAGTTTGTTATTAGATAATCAGGATGAATCTCAAGAAATAGCTGAGGACGCGACGGCGGCCGAGCCGAGCGGCTCACAAAATGACATCGATGAAATTGAAGATGAAGAATACGATATATATAAATCAATTGACGCGATTTTCGAGAACAAGGAAAAAGATTTCGTATGCCTGCCTTCACGGTCAACTGTAAGGTGAGACAATTTTTTTTCATTTTCCAACTTTTTTTTCTGCAAAACAGAACCGGTTTTTGCATTACACCATCCGCCCATGGAACGATTTTCATTCGCTTTTCTGTTCCTTTCAAGAACACGCAACGCTCTGATTAACTAAATCAATTTTTGAGAAATCTGATTTTCAACATTTCAATTTTATTTATTTTAAGTTTTTTCCTATTCATTAAAAAAGTGAAAAGTGAAGAGGCTTGCAATAAGCTCGATGAAAAAAATAATTTTAAAAGAGCGGTTCGCACCCCGTACTTAAAGGTTCATACACGCTCACTCAAAACTGCACACATTTTAATATTAATTAAATCTGGATTTTTTCAAATTTATCTCAAAGATAACAACCAATTCTTAGTAAGTGATCGGTGACGTTTTCGTGTAATTTTCAAGTTTAAATTCAATAGTTTTGAGAAAAAAATTTAAGTGAAACACAATTCAAAAAATTTCATGAAAAAAACGCCGCCAATGATAATTTTTCTATTCCTTTAACTTTATTGATATGGGGTGTTATTAAATTTTAATTATTTAGAAGAGTATTAAGTAAAACATAACAGGCTGCTCTTAAGTCTAAAATAGTATGCAAACATAGATTGCCCCTTTTCTGCTCAATTTTAGTGAAAATATTCAGAAAAAAAATCATTTTCATATGTCGTTTTTCAGTAGTAGTTCGGCCTTGTATATCATCGCAAATATGTTTTAATTGAATGACAACAATGACGTTTCAACCGCTTCAATATTGAAAAACAATATGTCCAATTTTCAGTGAGAATGACGTCTATAGCGAATCAAACGAGGAGCCGTCGACATCGTTCGGAATGCGAAACAATAACGTTTTATCATCGAGAAGCTTCAATAGGTATATTTTTTGTGGTGTCGCTATTGTTTTCGTTCAACAATCGTCTATATTATGCAATATGGCTTGCGTCGATGATTCACTTCATTAAAATGCACATTGTTTCCAAAAAAATGTTATTCATATGGTTGGACACATTTACCAGGAAAAAAAAAACAACGAAACCATTCGCATTACATTTCCGTGTCTTTTTGTTTTCTTTAAAAAAAGATAATTTTGAAACAAATAATGTCCGCATTTGATCGGACTATCAATGACAATTGTGTGAAATTTAATCGTTATTCGAAAAAACGACGTGTTGTACGGTAATAATTCATTACCACTTTTACGACTGATAAGAAAATTTACGACTTCAGAGGTGCTTTACGATATGTGCCGAGGAAATCATTAACAACTTCGCATTCCATTGGAAATGTGGAACAAGGCCTAAAAGACCTCAGTATACGGTGAGTGTTTTTCCATGTTTTTGCAAATTTGAACAAAAAAAATGTTTTGAAAATATTACGACTTTATTTCTTCTCGACATGTCTTCTCTGAAGTATTCATATAACCAAATTCAAACTTTTTAGTTCCGGTTCAACCAAACAGTTTGATGAAATTTCACCTTGATAACTGTTTGGAATCATCACAAGACCCTTGAAAATACAAAATTTTTCTGGTGTAACTAAACTTGTTCAAAGTTCTTTAATACCTACGATCTAGTAAAGTTAATCTCATTCACATCTAGAGACGACGATATGACCGCAGGACATCAGCCGAGATTTCAATCTCTTCAAACACTTCCTAGTGAACAGATCATGACAATTCAACAATATCGAACATCATGTGGTAAGTTTTCAACTATTTGTTCAGAAAAAAAATTGCAATGAAAATTTTTTGTATGTATCAAATCAAAATCTGTTCTACAACGTCGAACATTTTCCCACGAATTCATTTTTAAATTCTCAATGGAATTCTGTCAAAAATTGTTTGAAAATATTTGTTCGTCTCCCATTTTCAAACATTCCTACAAAAAAATCATCGAGAATGCCTCATTTTTTTCTCTTTTCAATTAAATATGACACATAATGCAAAAATGTGAAGAATTCGGCGTCGCCGGAAATGCTGAATTTCCCAGCAACGCAACAAATGCATTCAAATTTCAGGCGATCTTGGAGCGACACCGGATTTGCCGCTTCCAGAAAATTGGGCAATCGAGTATACGAGTGAAAACCAGATGTCAGTCATTCAGCAAAAGCATATTCTCATGAATTTCTAATGATTTTCCAGGTATTACGTCGATCACGCGAATAGGAGAACACATTGGGTCCATCCATTAGTCAATGAGAGTTTAAAGCCGGGCTGGAAGAAATGCTTCAATCCGCAGAAAGGCGTATTTTATTACAAGTAACGGCAAATTATTGGAAAACAAATATTTATTAATAAGGAAGTTTTCAGCGAGAGCCTGCAGAAAACGCAATTTGAGCATCCCGGAATATCAAATCCAATTTTTCGGACAGAATCAGTGAATGTGGCGAATCGATCAACAATGGACTTGAACGCAAACCTTCATATTATTGAAGAGAAGGGTAGGAAAAGAAAATAGAGAGCTCGAAATTTTTATGAATATTGGGATTTTAGAACTTCCTCCATGGCTTCTTATGTACGCCCAATCGGATTCTTCATTGGATCATCTTTTAGAGGTACATATATATGATGGAGTAATTCTAGACAAGCTTTTTTTCCAGTGGGAATTATTCGATCTCAAACAGCTGAAAGAATATGAGCACATAATGCTTAAACTATATAAACAGGAAGTCATCGATATTGTCCGAAAGTGAGCGTTTTTTGACATCATTCTTTATTTTGCTAGCTAATATTTCATTCAGATATGAGAAGCGAAGGAACGTTCTGAACCGTGAAATCCACAGACGCGATATTTCACGTCCTCCACCGCCCAGAAATTAGAACTTGTATTGCCCAAGTGCACTTTGAAAGTTCTTCAAACAAAAAAAAAATGCCTCAAAAGCGCACTTGTTGAGTAATGAACATCTTGCCTAAATTTAGAAGCCGACTTTACATTTTACTTTATTTCAAATACAGAGTTGTCATTTGCTTTTTTTCGTGTGTGAAAATGAGAAACCATCAACAGTTTTAATGTACATTTGCCGACAAAACTACATATAGGAATGTGAAACATTTTGTTTTCTTTCTCCTTAAATAAAATGATTTAATTTATGCCAATCCAGACCTCATCCTATTTTCGCTTGTGATGTTTGTTTGTCAATACAATCGCCTCAATGTTGCTTCTTGGCGTTTTCGGAAAAGAAGCGATGTGTAATGTTTAAAACATTGGCATGGATTTTAAAGGAGGTGGGCGTTTCAATTGTGCATAGAACAAATTGATTTGCATTTGGTGGGATTTCGCGAAAAACAACACCCTCCGAAATTACTCAAGTTTGAAGCGTCTCGAGTAGATTCGAGAAGCGTGTTGTGTTGTTGTTTTTCCACGTTTTTTGTCGGACCTTCCTACCTATTACGTTGCAAACTCGCTATTTAGCCGCATTTCTCATTCGTCTTCGCTTTCATTTGGTGTTAATCATCAACATTTCGATTTATTTCCGAATTAAAAACGGTTTGTCTGGAGACAGAGAGAGGGGGAAACCAATTAGGAATGTTAATCCGCGCCGTCTTACCATTCGTCTAGCAAATTGGAGCCTCGTGCTGCTCGCTGTGAAACCCGAGTTCCGCGATTGACGTTATTTTTGGAGCCAGTTCAAAGTGTAAGTTCAAAAATAGCCTTGGGCTAATCAAGACGGAAAAAAACGTGGACCATCATTTAATTTCAAGTATTTGAGATTTTTGGTTCTTTGAAACTTGTGAAACTACGCACAAAGATCGCCAGAGGATTTCTTAAGTAAACATTTCTTTTTTTCGCAATGAAGTGTTCAAATTACTACTAGAAATGTAAGCCCAACTAGTAAAAAATTTATTGGAAAGACAAGTGTTGGAAATCCCAGATGACCTCTTCTTCTGCGAAGATCTTCTACTCAAAAAAGATTTTTTCTGGTGTGGTAAACGTTTTTTTTTAACTATGAATATCATGAAAAAAAAGTTAAAATGCCTATTTCGCTTCAGATAATGTTTAGTTTTTAAATTTTGCTTAAATCCTCCCAGCTATTTTAAAATTAAGTGCACCTTGAAACATTAAAAAACTTAACTAGTTTAATTAGACGTCACATCAGCTCAAGTTTGATTATTTACTGATTATTTTTTGTTTTCTAAAGATTCTAATTCGAGTTAGTTCTTTTACTTTAAGACTTTAAAATTTTGTTGATCTATTTTGATGGGTACCTCATTGCCACATCGTTTTTGACTTTCACCGCACATTTTATATTTGTGGGCTATTACTCAGACGACATAGTATGTATGCCATTGCCCAAAATCCATTTAGAATAAGATGTTGCATATTTTCTAAACTGAGTTTTTTTTATAATTGCCACCTCTGCGATTTTTTTCTCGCAATTGACTCGCTGATGTATGACGCATGAAGACGCCAATTTCTGTTATTGCTTTGACACTGTGAGCACGTTGCTTTTAATTATTAATTTTCGCAATGTCGTTCAACATTCTTCTGTTCTTGTTGCAACACCTCATTCATTTTTTGTTGTTGCAGTTTTCGTTTTTTGCCCCCGAAAAATGACTCCAACAAACCAATTGGAAGTTCATGATCCCTATACCAAAAAGACTGTGCTCGTTAGCACTGTTCAGACACGCCCATTGATGCAATATTTGTGATTGTTACAACGATGATCAATCATTATTAACATTGTGGCTCGCTATGAACTATTGCTTTTTCTATTTGTATTTTTGTTGATTTTATAACTTACTTATATTTTATTCTTGCCTCGTTTATTAAATAAAAGGTTTAATTACCCAAGTTTGAGGTGTCAAAACATTGGTGCATCGACAATTCGAACTTGGACGCAAACGTGTGCAGCAGAGAAGCCACTCAGCTGTTAAGTGGAACGTTTGAAGTCGACGACATTGGTGTGAAGTCGAAGACATTGGTGGGACGTCGAAGACATTGGTGTGAAGTCGAAGACATTGGTGTGACGTCGAAGACATTGTTGTGAAGTCGAAGACATTGGTGTGACGTCGAAGACATTGGTGTGACGTCGAAGACATTGGTGTGACGTCGAAGACATTGGTGTGACGTCGAAGACATTGTTGAAGACATTGGTGTGACGTCAAGAATTGGCTGGACGTAGAAGTTGGATAATTTTTGGACGACTTGGTTATCACCCTGGTAACCCAATCGACGTTTGGAACAATTTCATTGGTTCGTGGGCCATCAGACAACAAGTGATACGGAGCTTTGGAAGCTCACCAGTTTGCCTGGGTTTGGAAACCAACTGGTTATCGCGGACGACAAGCGGAGTCGAGCAGTGCAAATTTAACAAGTCAGTTTATTTACGATAGATTCACCCTGTTCTCTTTTTTTTTTTGAGATAATCTTGAATAGTTCTAACATTTGTTTATTTTCCAAACTCGTGTTGTTACCACGTAGGCCTGAGGGATCTAGTTCGGAAAAGCCGACGGCTATAGGATTCAGAAAACTTCCGGAATTGCAATACATTCACGAAATTGCATCATCTTTCCATTTTCTAATATCTTTTTCTTATCTTATCGATTCAGCTCAATATTAATCATCCCTATAACGCTAAAAATAATTGGATTTCTGGTTGCCCGTTATAATTGCATGACTAACATATAACTTTGCTGACAAAATGTCAAGTCTGTCGAGTCTGTTGGGGCTATGTACCAAGGCAGAAAAATTGTTTGAAGAAGAGTATTTAAAATTAGTTGCTAAGCAAGGAGTATGGGAGAGTGTAGCTAGAAACCATGAAGCGTTGGAAGAACTGGTGGATGAGATAGAAGAAGAAATGTATAAGATGGAAACTCTAGCAACGAAGGTACAAACAAGGTTGGATAAGTTGGTTGAGACGATAGATGAGCTTGAGGAAACGACACAAGAGGACGAAATAAAAGTGAAAACCAAAATGATGAAGAACGAAGAAATTCAAGACAAAACTGATCGCATGACAAACTTGTACCGACCGAAATTATTCACACTGAAGAAGAAGTTGAAAGCAAACACAGGAGATACAAGAAGACAAAATGTTACGGGAAACAAACCGTTGAACATCGGACTATCAGAAATACGTATACCAGAATTTCATGGGAATCCAAATGAATTCGTTGCATTTTGGACCATATTTGAAGAAGCCGTTCATATGAATGACAATATGTCAAATGTGTTGAAATTTTCATACTTGATGAATGCATTGAAAGGAAAAGCAAAGATTGCTGCAAGCAGATTCCCAGTAACCAATGAAAACTATCCGCAAGCAATTGCCTTTATCAAGGAGAAATTTGGAAACAACAAAATACGAGTGAAAGAATTGGGAAAACAACTCAAGAATTGTAAAGCACAGTCGAGTAAGATCGAAGATCAACAGATGTTATTCGACGAAGTAGCGGCAACTTTGAATCAATTGGAAACTAGCGGAGAAGCAATGGATATCGAAATGACCAGAGAATTGATTACGAAGAAATTCTCGCGAGAGATCCAAAAAAGTGTCTACCGAATGCGTGAAGAATCACCGGAAGATTGGAATTTGACCACACTGATGAAAAGCCTGGAAAAGACTTTGAAAACGGAAGCGAATGTTGAGAACGACTGTGAAAACGAACAGGTCAGAGAAGTGAAACAAAATGTGGTTCGAAGAAATATAGTTAACGAAAAACTATTCCGGTGTTATTTCTGTGAGAAAAATCACCGCGCAGACAATTGTCTTAATTATTCTTCTATTGATGAGAAATGGAAACGAATTAAGGAGCTCAAAAATTGTTTTAATTGTTTAAAATCTGGGCATTCCTCAAGAGAATGCAGAAGCGAGAAATGCAGAAACTGTCAAAGAAGTCATCATCGATTGTTGTGCAAAAACATAAATAACAGGAACAATAAGGCACAAAAAACAACAGCGAAGAAGAAAAATGACGGAGGGAGTCATCAAAACGTTTCAATACCAGTACGACAGGAAGATCAACGAGAAGTCAGTCGAACACGTCAAGCACATCAAAATTTTGTGAATGGGACAGGCGACAGCTATTTACCTACAGTTCAGATGTGGGGATACAGCCCAGCAACGTCGGAGTGGAAAAAAATCGTCGTGATGCTTGATTCTGGAGCGAATTCGACATATGTGAAAAAGTCAATCGTAGAAGACTGGCAATTGGAGATGATTCGCGAAGAATGGGTGAAACTACAAACATTCGGACAAATCGCGAAGAATCCAGAAAAATACCAAGTTGCAAAAATCTTGATAGACAAAGGAAACAACCAAAGAATTGATGTTGAAGCGACAGTAAAAGATTATCTTGTGGAACCAATCGATAAACCAGTGCTGGATGACCGTGATTCAAAGTTCCTGGAAGACGAAGGTATCACTATCAATCCGGAATGCTTAAAAACAATATCAGATCCCGATGTAGTTGTTGGTAATGATTACATTTATGAATTCTGGATGCAGCACACACTTCCATCAGGATTGACATACATCTTAACCACAAATGGTGCAGTAATCACTGGACGTAGAGCTGACCATGATGATATGAAGATGAAACAGGAAAACTCGACACGACGAGTGAATACGGTAGTGCGCAACGTCGTAGAAAACGTCATTGAATTTGAAGAAATGAAACAAGGAGAAATCGCTGGACCAGTGAATGACGAAGTTCACCAAGAAAATGAATTGGTACTAAAACGAATTGAAGATACAATGGAAAAACGAAGTGATGGATATTATGTGGGGCTACCGTGGAAGGACGGAGCTGAGACTCTACCAACAAACTTCACATTAGCATTAAAAAGATTGGAAAGTGTTTTTGATATAATGAACTCC